CCTCAAACACATCGTGCCATCCTTCACCAAACTCCTAGTATAGTGATAACGCCTCTTGATGTGTTTAGTGCGATAATGAAACATAGGATTCTTAGCCAATTGAACCGCACTTTGGCTATCACTATACAACGCACAAACATCTTGTTTCATGCCCATTTCTTCAAGGAAACCCTTCAACCATTCCATCTCCTTTCCCGCTTCCGACATAGCCACATACTCGGCTTCCGTCGTAGACATAGAGACACACTTTTGGAGCTTGCTCATCCAACTAATGGCCGTACCACCAATAGTATACACATACCCCGAAGTGCTTTTGCTTGAATCATAACATCCTCCAAAATCGGCATCAACAAAACCTTCCAAAACAACTCTATTTCTCCTAAAGCAAAGAGCCATACTTGAAGTACCCAACAAATACCTCAATATCCACTTCACGGCTTCCCAATGTCTCTCACCCGGATTTGACATGAACCTACTCACAACTCCCACTGCATGAGCAATGTCGGGCCTCGTGCAAATCATAGCATACATCATGCTACCAACGGCCGAAGCATAAGGAACAATGGCCATTTTGTCCTTCTCTTCCCTTGTCTTTGGGCAATCCTCCTTAGTCAACTTGAGCTCACTTGAAAGAGGTGAGCTTCGAGGCTTTGCATCAATCATGTTAAATCTTTTAAGCACCTTCTTGACATACTCCTCTTGAGATAACTTCAACACACCCGTTGAGCTATCCCTAGAAATTATCATGCCAAGTATTTGCTTGGCCTCACCCAAGTCTTTCATCTCAAATCTTCTTGACAACTTCTTTTTCAAGTCATTGACAATTTCCATACTAGTTCCCGCAATCAACATATCATCAACATACAAAAGCAAGTAGATATAGCCATTGTCATACCTTTGAAAGTAGCAACAATGGTCACCTTCCGCTCTCACGAAACCATTGCCTAGCATGAAATTGTCAAACTTCTTGTACCATTGTCTAGGAGCTTGTTTCAACCCATATAGACTCCGTTTAAGCTTGCACACCAAGTTCTCTTGACCCGGAACTTGAAACCCTTCCGGTTGCTTCATGTAGATTTCCTCCTCCAAATCACTATGTAAAAACACGGTTTTTACATCCATTTGCTCAAGAAATAAGTCCTCCGAAACCACTATAGCCAACAAGATCCTTATAGTGGTTAGCTTCACAACCGGAGCAAAGATCTCATGATAATCAATGCCCTCCTTTTGTGAAAAACCTTTCACCACAAGTCTTGCCTTGTACCGAATTGTACCATCCGGTTCTTCTTTCTTTCGAAAGATCCACTTGCACAAAAGTGCTCTCTTGCCCTTAGGCAACTCAACCAGCACCCAAGTGTTGTTTTTCTCCAATGAAGACATCTCATCTTCCATTGCTTGCTCCCACTTCAACGAGTCACCCATGCCCATTGCCTCTTTATAACATTCCGGCTCACCGGAATCCGTCAACAACAAATAATGCAAGGATGGAGAATATCGGTGTGGTGGCTTGATTGTTCTTGATGATCTCCTCACCGTTGGTGGTGTAGGTGGCTCTCCATGAACCACAACGGGCTCACCCATAACTACTCGCTCATCCGTTTCCAAGTGATCATCATCATCCGAATCACTTGAATCCGAATCCACCGGAACATGAGCACCATGTTGAGGAGATGCTTGTTGAATTTGCACCTCAACTTCTACCTGTTCAACTTCCTTATCACTTCTAACCTTACCATCTAGCTCAACAAAATCCCGCTCATCTTCAATTGATTCTTTCTCAACGGATTTCCCACCAAAGTTCTCTTTGTACAAAGAGCTCTCATCAAAAGTGATGTCACAATGCCTAACAATCTTTCGATTCTTAGGATCCCACAATCTATAACCATATTTCTCACATCCATACCCGATGAAGTAACATTTGATGGCTTTTGGGTCTAGCTTGTCTCTCTTTTCGGATTGCAAATAGGCCACACAACCAAAGGTCTTCAAGTGAGTGTAGGACACCTCCTTACCACTCCACTCCTCTTCCGGTATCTTGAATTCCAAAGGTATCGAAGGTCCACGGTTTATCAAGTAAGCCGCGGTACTAACGGCATCCGCCCAAAAACATTTTGGGAGGCCCGCAAACAACCTCATACACCTCGCCCTCTCAAGTAAGATCCTATTCATCCGTTCCGCTACCCCATTTTGGCGAGGTTTACCGGGAATGGTCCTCTCCAAAACAATGTCATGCTCCTTACAAATGTTTTTGTAAGCTTCCAACTCATACTCTCCTCCATTGTCGGACTTGATTGCCTTAATCTTCTTGCCCGAAACATTTTCAACCTCCGCCTTCCAAGTCTTGAACTTCTCATTCACTTCTGACTTGTGCTTCATGAAATATACCCATACTTTCCGGGTTGAATCATCAATGAAAGTGACAAAATAGTGAGAACCACCAAGGGACTTGATGGGGTATGGGCCCCAAACATCCGTGTGCACAAGTTCTAGCTTCTCCTTCTTCAAGGACCGTTTGGTTTTTGTGAAAGACACCTTCTTTTGTTTCCCAAAAACACATGTCTCACAAAATTTCATGTCGATTGATTTCAACCCCGACAACTTACCCTTTGAAGCTAGCAATTTCATCCCTTTCTCACTCATGCGACCAAGCCGAGTATGCCAAAGCTTAGTCTCATCATTTGCGGTTGTAGCAATCATGCTTTTACACCCTAAGGTAGTGTACAATGTGTCGGTCTTCGTGCCCCGAGCCACCACCATAGCTCCCTTTGACACCTTCCAAGTACCTTCACCAAACATGGTTCTAAAACCGCTTGAGTCTAGTTGACCCACCGAAATCAAATTTTTCCTTAGCTTAGGTATGTACCTAACATCTTCAAGCTTCCATGAGCTCCCACTTGAAGTCTTGATCATAACATCTCCCTTCCCCACAATATCCAACGGTTCATCATCCGCAAGGTACACCTTTCCAAACTTGCCACTCTTGAAGTTTTGGAAAATCTCCTTACATGGAGAAGAATGAAATGAAGCTCCCGAATCAAGGATCCAAGACTCAATGGGACTATCAACACTCAAGATCAATGCATCACCGATTTCATCGCTTGATGCCAAGCTAACCGATGAACTAGCATCATCGTAGTTCTTGTGGTTTGAACCACCCTTCTTCTTGGGATTAGGACATTCCCTCTTAGTATGCCCTTTCACACCACAACCCCAACACACAATGTTCACCTTCCCTTTCGACTTACTCCTCCCTCTAGACTTCGATCTTCCTCTTTGAGCACCTCTTTGTTGTCTTCCACGTCCCCTACCTTCACTAGAATAAGCACCACCCGATGACTCACCCGAGTTCTTCCTTCTCAAGCTCTCACTCAAGATTAAGTCCCTCACATCATCACACTTCAACTTCGACTTTCCGGAAGAGTTGCTAATGGCGGCTACAACGGTATCCCAACTTCTAGGCAACGATGACAACAAGATCAAGGCCCTCACTTCATCATCAAACTTAATCTCAACCGAAGCTAGTTGAGAGATTATTGAATTGAATTCATTTATATGTTCGGGGGCGGAACCACTATCATTCATCTCAATTTCAAACAAACGACGCATCAAGAACACCTTGTTCATAGCCGATGGCTTCTCATACATATTGGACAATGCTTTGATCACACCAACCATCGTTGTCACATCTTTGACATTGTAAGCAACACTCTTAGCCAATGTCAATCTAATCACTCCAAGGGCTTGTCTATCCAATACTTTCCACTCCTCTTCCTTCATACCCGATGGTTTACTAGTAAGGGGCAAATATAGGTTCTTTTGATACAAATAGTCCTCTATTTGCATCTTCCAAAACCCAAAATCCTTCCCATCAAACTTCTCAATTCTCAACTTGCCTTCTTCCATTGCAAATCAAACACACAAAGTTCACAATAGGTTTTCAACAAAAAAGAATGCAACTTGACACCCAAGACTCAAACTTTGAACACCTAAAGTTCCAAACTTTGAAACTCAATCACAATTTCAAGTTTAACACAAACCCTAAATCATCAAAACACCAAAGATTCAACCTTGGCTCTGATACCAATTGTAAGGATTAAAGTGTTCAACTAACTTGCAATCAACCCACAATAGCAATGAACAAACAAGCATAACAATCAAGAACAACTTTGAAGGAATTAAAGCAAGTAAAAGGAAGACAATGTTACCGTGGGAAAACCCGAGAACCGGGAGAAAAAAACCCACCCTTGCACTATGGAGTAATATTGATGATGAATGAACTCAAGAATTACAAGCATGAATTGTATAGAATTCAAATGCTCCTCACAAACCCTCTCAAAACCTCTCTATGTGTTTAAATGTTTGTGAATACTCAACAAAGAGGCTTAGAAAAGGTATATATAGTCTAGGTAGAAAAATACAATCTAACGGCTAAGATTAAAGCAAATCGCACAAGCCGAAAACGAAGCGACGAAATAGGGAGCAGGGAGGTTCGGCCGAACCTACCCAGAGTTCGGTCGAACCTGGGGTGGTTCGGTCGAACCTCCTTGGGTTTGGTAACTCCTCCTCTAGAAATGAAAACTGGTGCACCTACTGACTTAAAACCGGGTTCGACCGAACTTTTCACAAGTTTGGTCGAACCTTAACAATAAGGCAGCTTCTATGCAATCTCCTTATGTCTCCATGTATTTATCTATCTCCACACTAATCCTAACAACAAGTTGCAAGCAGTGATCATAAACCGTTGGCAACTTAATTAAATGTTGTAGTTGCAATAATTTGAATATGAGTATATGTCATTATGTTTAATCACTTTGATATAATTTTAGATGTGAAAGTTTAATTCAAGTTGACACAATTCCACAACTTCTCTGAGTTATGAGTTTGAAAAAGTCATATACAGTACAAAATATTAGTGTATATTAACCAGATTATAATAAGCTCAGAACTTCTTAATGCTGAAATGTTTGAGAATTTTTTTTCAAGAGTTGTATGCTTACAATGTTTTCAAATTGTAATTAATTAATCATTAAAGCAAGTAAGTAGTGCCTAAATTAATTGAACATTTTTAAACAAGCTCTTAATCTTAACCCATTCTTTCTCAACTCTTTCTAATTTTCTTTCAGCATCAACTTTCCTTGCTTGCCATGATTCCTCCTTTGCTTCCATCTCCTCTAGTCTCTCATTTTTCTTCGCTATTCGTGATCTGAGCAATTCCACAGCCTTGATGCTGCTTTCTGTTTCTTGTAATTCCATCAACAACTCCTCTTTGTTAGCTCTTGGATTTACATACTCGTCGCTGAACCATTTGTCAAGAGTGGCCTCTAACACACAAGCCTTGGCCACATCCTTATCAACCTCGGCCTTGATCTCCAATATTTTACTGTCAAATGTAGCATACTCTACTAGATCCTGAGTGGCCAAGTCATGGTCATTTTTCATGGTCTTAAGTTGCTCTTGTATAGTTTCTTGTCGCGATGTTTTATTATCAGCAGCAAGTATACCTACCCCCTTTTCTAGCTCTTTGTATAGTCCTAAAGATAAGATGCCATGATAGTCCATGTCCATCAGCTCTTTGAGAGATTGTTTAGCCATATGAATTTCTGATTTGAGAACGCGTTCTGTATCTGATGTTGTTCGTTCTGTTACAACATAAACTTTATCGTCTAGGCCATCTAACATAGACCTTAAGTTGCTGAAGGAGATCGAATGCTGAGTTTAGGAACATAACATAAACCCAAAACCCAAAAAAGGCCACAAAAAAAAAAAAAAATGAGTATTCTATATTGGTATAAGCATTGATTTAAATCAGAAAATTTGGTAAAAAAAAAGTTCTGATTATATGAATTTTAGGCCTTTTATTTGTTCTACTATATCAAATTTCATAAAGCTTAAAGCATTTTAGCTTAATTAGATGTTTCTGATTCTAATAATGAAGCTATTATAATTTGAAAGAAATGAAAGGAAAAATAGCAGAACAAAAATTATAGGAAGTGTTGTGCGACAGCGGAAGCAAAGGTCGAAAACAAACAAGAAAACAATAAAGAAATTCAATGCAAACAATAAGAACAACACCAAGAATTTACGTGGTTCACTATCGATGTGATAGCTACGTCCACGGGCACCGAGATCGAATGATTTCACTATAAACTGCAAAGATTACAAAGATGATTCTTGTATTTCTCAAGAACGGCTCTCACTCTGTCTCTCTTAACCCTAATACTGATATTAGGGAGGTTTTATATTAATCCCTAATTAAAAGATACTTGGGCAAAAAGATAATAAAATAAGATAACCTAAAACCGCAAAATCCGCGTTCCGTATTTTTCCTTCTCCGCCCGGTCAGACCGGGCAAGGTCTGCCCGATCGGGCGCGAGAAGAAAACTCCATACGAATGCTTCAACGTATCCAACCCCCACCGCCCGGTCAGACCGGGCAAGGTCTGCCCGATCGGGCGAAGGCTCGCCCGGTCGGGCGAAGGCTCGCCCGGTCGGGCGCGAGAGCAGCTTCTTCAACGAATTTGCCAGGCACCTCTTCTTCTTCCGCCCGGTCAGACCGGGCAATGTCCGCCCGATCGGGCGGACAAAGCTACGAAGTACGAGTCACCTAATATACTTATCAACAATCTCCACCTTGACGAGAACTCGTAGTCAGCAAACGACCCCATCAAGACATAGTGAAAAAACATCTCAAGCCAAACCCGATGCAGGACTCATGCATAAGCCATACATCCCGATAAGTCTTCAACCAAGACCCATCACATACTCGTCTCCAAGTATAACAACTCATAATGCTCCACCTGCATCACAAGCCCCGGGCAAGCTCCACCTTAATGCCAACACACCTACACCAGGAGCTCCCCAACTTCGCCCCTCAGGGCCTACTACATCACGTAGTAATCAATATTTAACAAGTCTAAGCAATGTTTAAACTTGCTAAACGGAACAGGCTTAGTGAAGAAATCAGCCGGGTTGTCAGCAGTCCCAATCTTCTTCACCTTAATCCTCTTGTCAGTACGTAAGAAATGATACCTGACATCAATGTGCTTCGTCCGATCATGGTGTACTTGATCTTTAGCTAAGCAAATCGCACTTAGACTATCACAATACACTGTAGCAAAATCCTGTGCAATACCCAGTTCACCTACTAGGCCTTTGAGCCAAATAGACTCTTTAGCTGCAGAAGTTAAAGCCATATACTCAGCTTCAGTAGTTGACAACGTAACTGATGACTGCAATGTAGACTTCCAACTAACCACAGAACCACCCAAAGTGAACACATAACCAGTCACAGACCTCCTGGTATCCACATCAGCTGCATAATCAGAATCACTGTACCCAGTGACCAAGCATTCCTTACCATTCCCGTACACAAGACCAATATCAGCTGTCCCTCTCAGGTAGCGAAAAATCCTTTTCACCCCTTGCCAGTGTTCCCTCCCAGGTCGAGCCATAAACCTGCTTACAACACTAACAGCATGCGCAATATCCGGCCTAGTACAGACCATAGCATACATCAAACAACCAACCGCGTTTTCATATGGAACTCTAGACATATAAGACAACTCCTCCTCTGATTGAGGTGACATAGACAAAGACAACTTACAACTAACAGTAGTTGGCGTACTTATAGGCTTCGATTTTTCCATCCCAAAACGAGACAGAATCTTTTCAATGTAGCTTTTCTGAGTCAAGAAAAGCTTACCTCTAGCCCGATCCCTGTAGATCTCCATACCCAAAATCTTCCTAGCTGCACCCAAGTCTTTCATGTCAAACTCCGAGTTAAGCATCTCCTTTAATCTTTTGTACCACTGTCGGGGGGATTGCTTAAGTCCATACAATGACTTTAGCAATCTGCAGGCATAGTGTTCCTTTCCAGGAGCTTCGAATCCTTCGGGCTGCTTCATCAGAATCTCCTCCTCCAAATCGCCATGAAGGAAGGCCGTTTTAACATCCAACTGCTCCAGCTCAAGATCAAAATGTGCTACAATTGACAATAACACACGGATAGAAGTATGTCGAACCACAGGTGAGAATATCTCAACAAAGTCAACCCCTTCTACCTGACTGAACCCCTTAGCAACTAGCCTAGCCTTAAAACGTATTTGCTCAGTTTCCGACAACCCTTCTTTCTTCTTGTAAATCCATTTACAACCCACAAGCTTCCTCCCTTCCGGTACCTTTACCAGTTCCCACACTCTGTTCTTGTAAAGAGACTGCATCTCTTCACCCATTGCGGCAAGCCATTGCGCAGACTCACTACAACTAATTGCTTGTTTATATGTGGCAGGTTCAAATGACTCTACATCATCAGCTACACTCAATGCATAACCTGTCATCGCATCAACACAGCAATTTCTTCCCTCCATCTCTTCAATCAATCTAACAGGCTTCTTGATAACTCGTTTAGGCATCTCAAGAATGGTGTCAGGTTGACTAGATGACCCCTGATTAGATTGCTCCACCTCATCCCCAGAGTTAGAATGAGTAGGAGTAATCTCAGGTTCAGGAGTACCCGGCACTGGAACATCAGCATCATCATCAATATATTGTACCCGAGGTAAATCAGCAATGGTAGACTGATGTACCTCAAGTACCCCATCTGTCTGTAATAAATTGTCTCCTTCCCTTCTCAAATCTGAAATCTCTGCATTTTTAATTGAATACATGGTGTTTTCATCGAAAGTAACATCCCTACTAAGAATGACCCGACCCTCCGAAGGTGAAAAAATTCTAAACCCCTTCACACCATCCCCGTACCCAACAAAACACCCCTTCTTGGCTCGTGGATCCAGCTTACCCTCAATAACATGATAATAAGCAACACAACCAAAAATCTTCAAATTCGAAAAATTAGGCAACTTACCACTCCAGATCTCAAACGGAATCTTGGAATCAATTCCAGAATGAGGACCCCTATTAATGACATAACAAGCTGTTAACACAGCTTCACTCCAGTACCTCCTCCCAAGCCCTGCATTAGAGAGCATGCATCGAACTCTCTCTAGCAGTGTCTGATTAACCCGTTCTGCTACACCGTTCTGCTGTGGTGTCTTCCTGACAGTATGATGCCGACCTATACCCTCATCTGCACAGAACTGATTAAACTCGTCTTTGCAAAACTCTAGCCCATTGTCCGTTCGTAGCTTCTTGATCTTCCTTCCTTGTCGATTTTCCACCAAAGCTTTCCATTGCTTGAAAACTTTGAAGGCCTCATCCTTTGACTTAAGCAACCTAAGCCATGTGTATCGGGACTTGTCATCAACAAATGACACAAAATAGTGGTAACCTCCCATACCTTCAACTCTAGATGGACCCCAGCAATCTGAATGGATGTAATCGAGCACTGCATCAGTAATGTGAGCACCCTTGCTGAACTTTGACCTGTGTTTCTTACCAAACACACAATGCTCACAAAATTCAAGGTTGGCAACCTTGACCCCGGATAGAAGACCCCTCTTGGACAATAGCTGCATCCCCTTCTCCCCCATATGACCAAGCCTCATGTGCCAAATCTTAGTCATCTCCTGGTGAGATACAGATGCGCAAACCGCAGAACTAGGCAGTGTAACACCCTCAAAAACATAGAGGGTGTTCCTTTTGATACCCTTAAGTACCAACTCAGAACCTCTGAAAATACACAACTCCCCATCTGAAAACACACCATTGTACCCCAAGTCATCCAGGGTACCCAATGAAATCAGATTCTTTCCTAAAGCAGGAACATGCCGTACATTAGTCAAAGTTAACCTCCGCCCATCAACAGTCCTCAACCTCATGGAACCAATACCTGTGACCTTACATGGAGCATTGTTACCGACTATAACCATGCCCCCATTGCGAGGTTCATATGTATCAAACCAATCTCGACGTGGACACATATGGAACGAACACCCTGAATCTAGAACCCAGTTATCAGATAAATCATCAGACCTAGCAGAACTGACTAATGCTAAATCTTCCTCTGAATTATAGCTCTCATTCGGTTTCTCTTCAACTACAGCAGCCTGGGACTTGTTTTTCCTCACCGGACAATTATTCCTAAAGTGACCCGGTTCTTTACAGTAATAACATGTTTTAGTAGTAGTTTTACTAGATCCATCCTTGCCGTTTCCAGCACCCGACCCAGCATTGTTCCCCTTGTTAAACCCCTTATTCTTTTTAGACTTTCCGGACTTAACAAATAACCCACTACCATTATCCCCATTATCACTCGTAGCTTTCATTCTGAGTTCCCTAGTATGAAGTGCTGCCTTCACTTCTTCTAAGGTTATAGAATCCTTACCAACAACAAAAGACTCTACAAAATTCTCAAAGCTAGACGGTAGAGATACAAGTAAAATCAACGCAGCATCCTCATCATCAATTTTAACATCTAAATTACGTAAATCAAGCAAAATAGAGTTAAGTTTTTCTAGATGTTCCCGTAAGGAAGTACCTGACTGCATCCGGAGGCTAAACAACCGCTGTTTCAGTAATAATTTGTTGGTCAACGACTTAGTCATATACAATGACTCCAGCTTCAGCCACAATCCAGCCGCCGTTTCCTGATCAGCAACCTCCGTGATGATTTGATCATCAAGACTAAGTAATATGGTAGAGTGTGCCTTCTCTTCCATAACTTCTAACTGCGAGTCAGTCGGTCCGTCTCCTGACTCCGAAGTAGTACTCTTTGGAGCCAACGGACGCCATATCTGCTGTTGTTTTAACAGAGCCTTCATCTTAATTTGCCATAGCCCGAAACTATTTTTCCCGGTAAACTTCTCAATTCTTATTGTTGAATCTCCTGCCATTGTTATCTTCAAGAAACTCTCCAAGGATTGAACCTGAGCTCTGATACCAATTGTTGTGCGACAGCGGAAGCAAAGGTCGAAAACAAACAAGAAAACAATAAAGAAATTCAATGCAAACAATAAGAACAACACCAAGAATTTACGTGGTTCACTATCGATGTGATAGCTACGTCCACGGGCACCGAGATCGAATGATTTCACTATAAACTGCAAAGATTACAAAGATGATTCTTGTATTTCTCAAGAACGGCTCTCACTCTGTCTCTCTTAACCCTAATACTGATATTAGGGAGGTTTTATATTAATCCCTAATTAAAAGATACTTGGGCAAAAAGATAATAAAATAAGATAACCTAAAACCGCAAAATCCGCGTTCCGTATTTTTCCTTCTCCGCCCGGTCAGACCGGGCAAGGTCTGCCCGATCGGGCGCGAGAAGAAAACTCCATACGAATGCTTCAACGTATCCAACCCCCACCGCCCGGTCAGACCGGGCAAGGTCTGCCCGATCGGGCGAAGGCTCGCCCGGTCGGGCGAAGGCTCGCCCGGTCGGGCGCGAGAGCAGCTTCTTCAACGAATTTGCCAGGCACCTCTTCTTCTTCCGCCCGGTCAGACCGGGCAATGTCCGCCCGATCGGGCGGACAAAGCTACGAAGTACGAGTCACCTAATATACTTATCAACAGGAAGAAACAGAGTTTTGATCTTTGAACATACCTCTAATGAAGCAGCCGGATTCGTAGAAGGGCCATCATCCTCAATTGACAAAGTAGAGCAGCTTGAAAAAGATTTATGATCCACTGCATTACTTAACCGAGAAGGAACAGCATTTCCCTTAAAGGATTTTGAATCACCATTAGTTGACTTATGATCGATTTCGAGGATATCAACAATCCACAGGATCATGTTCTCAGATGCAGTCCAATGACCAGGCAGATCATGTGTAATGGTGTTCCTCCAAGGGGGAAGTCCTTTGTTTGACCTTAAGAAAGTTCCGGTATGACTTCTGAGTTTGATGTAAGGCCCTTCTTTGATTGGTTCCCATTCGACTGTGGCACCGAGCCAAGGTCTTTGTGCAACACGCTTTCCTGTCATTCCAAGCAGGAAAGGCTCTTCAGACGCGGCTAAGTATTTCCAGCTGTTGCAGCTCCTGATGCGGATGACATTAGTCTTTCCCTCAACAGGCTCGAATGACCAACGTGTGTATTTTGAGGAGCTGTCGCGAGTTTGCTTGACTGTATCTTCATCTTGATCGGCTATCAGGTACTTGCTCTGGTTGCTGGTTTTTAGCCGAAAGACCTTTGTTCTTTGGAAGAACTCCATTTTTCAAAATGGTGCACAAGGGGTAAAGGAATAAGTCTTTTGTGTTGATCATGGCTTTTAGACTTAGTTTAGAAGGAAAAAGGAGGAAAATTATGGGAAAGTTCTATACATGAAAACGACCGTGGTGCTTTGGTTGATCATATTGTCAAAATTGAGGACTCTTTCTCCAATAACTAATTATTCTAGATTATTTCTGTGCTGCATCAGATTGCATATGCTTTTTGTGAAAAACAAAACTTTGTCAAAAGGTGAAACTTTTCAATTTTGTCATTGGATGTCGAGCAGCTTAGCTGGTTAAAGTCTAGATAAGTAGCACCCAAGACCTGAGATCAAATTCTATACACATCATCAACTATTGTGGTTACCCATGCGCCGTAAATAGAATTACAGTAGCTAACGAATGGTAACTACATACGGAGTTGTAGGTAGTACTAAACTTTTCTAGCATGGTAGGGTTGCATAACTCATAACTCATAACCATCATGTACAAATAAATTTGTTTGAAGCAAGCATGATTACGACTTCTCTAATTGTACGGACTATGAATTTTATAAGCCTTAATACAATATTAAAATTGTTGGATGTTGGCTAATTATGTAACTAATGCTATATTTCATGAAGATAAAGATACTGATGGCATAATATCCTCCTAGGATCGTGCCACTAATGTAATGGCTGTATTCATCGCAATCATGATTTGTTTTATAAAATAGACAAATTAATGATGTAGGAAATGTATGTTACTGACTATTATTTTATCTTAGTACAAAAATTTATAATACATGGTTTGACAAAATTTAATTTTTCACATAATTTGGCACCAAATGAAAGGCAGAATCAAACATCTTGGAGTAAACTCTTCATTTTTTTCCATTCTTCCTCTACACTCTCCAATTTATTTTCGGCTTCAACTTTCTTCGCTTGCCATGATTTCTCATTCTTTTCCATCTCCCTAAGGCTTTGACTATTTTCCCCTATTCTTGAAATAAGTTCTTCAATGTCAACTGCGTTATCAGCCTGAGTTTTTTCTGCAGCCTTGATTCGACTGTCAACTTCCTCGAGTTGCTTCAGTATGTTATCCCTCTTGGCTCTTGCTGTCGCGAGCATTTTGCTAAAGCCATCTTCTATAGTCTCCAACTCGTGAGCCTTAGCAGCATCTTTCTTGAGTTCGGCCTTGACCTCTAATCTCCTAGTGCAGAATGTTGTGTACTCATTCAATTCTTGGCAGGCTAATTCGCGGTCATTTCTCATGGACTTGAGCTTATTTCTGAGGTTGGTGAGGTCCTTAAGGATGGTTTGGTCGCGGTATGAGACTTTTGCATCAGCAATAAGGATACTGATGGACTTGTCCATTTTCTTGTCTCTCCCAGAAGATAACACAGTTTCAAAATCCATGTTGTTCAACTCTTTCAGAGTTTGTTTTGCCATCTTAACTTCTAGTTGGTGAGGGTGGTGATTAGAGGCATATTCTACTGAAGTCTCTGAATCAGCATCTACTTTTGTATCGTCTTCTTCTTCTTCTTCCGTGCCATCGAGTAAGTCTTGCAGGCCATCTAACATGGATTTGAGCTTGTTGAAAGAACCGGAATGCTGTACACAACACCACAAAAAAAAAAAAAAAAAAAAAAAAAAAAAAAAAAAAACACACACACACACACAGGATGAGTTTGTTGTTTGATTTGAATTGAGACAGAGCAGTAGTAGTGCTTGGTAAGACTAGTAACAAGAAAAGTGTTTTAAAGTACCTTGGACTCATCGCGTATGTTTTGAACATGGGGCGATACTCGGGTGGGTGTATGTGTATCTGATGCTGTGGGACTTGCCCTTGGACTTGGAGTTGCAGAAACCTGTTAGCATATGCAAAGTAAACTCAATAATCAGACTTCAAAACTTTAGGTCATTACATTAGCAGGAAGGCAAAATTAAGGTGGTTTATGACAGTGAATCAGTGGTACATTGATGCAGCCTTGCAGGGTAGTAAGGAACTTCTTAGTGGCTTGAGCCAGTTTCATCAATTAATAAGCTTTAGTGTTTAATGACATGTTCAGATTCCGTTATTGTTTGAGGATAGTAATGACGGACCCTAAAAATTCGAGTCCTTCACTCATCTCAACTCAAGCCAAATTTATCCGCTAACACTTAGCACTAAAGGATATGGAGTAAAAGATAAGGTCAATTTCCACCCCCAAGAAACTCGACTAGAAGAATTGAAACGTGTGTTATTTAATAGTCATTTGTATTTGCTACCTTGAAAGATTAAAAAAAAAAAAAAAAAACTCTTCTACCATCCAAAATTATGACAAAAACAAGCTCAATCCAAAACTAGCTAGCAACTATTATGTCACATTATTATCCAAATTTGGTTTACACTTTACATCATGTTCTTTTCCTACTTTAATTAGTAGCTTTCCACTTACCAACTACTATTTAATACATGCACCAAAAGAAAACTTAATACGACCAAGTCACCCATTTGTCATTCATCAAAACTTCCCATTGAGAATAATTCATCATGAGATATTTTCAATTGATAACTATTAGGGACAATAATAAGCTAGTGAGCCCCACATACAATTAGTTGCTTTTATTTTATGTTTTGATCTATTTCTTATTATATTGTAAGTTTGACAAGTTCTAATTTAATACTATGTAATCTACTTCCTTAATCAGTAAATTTATTTCGTGTTTGAATAGTAATTGTCTTGTAAAATAAATCAAAATAAGAAGGAAAAAAAAAATTAGGGACGGGGAATAATAATCAGTAAATTTATTTTGTGTTTGAGTAAGATTAAAGACCATAATAACTAGAGCTTAATTAGTCCACTATATCTTATGCTTTGTTTATCTACACCTAATTTTTCTCCCTCCTTTATTTTCTTACATCATTATTCTTAACTACTTTTCAGACCAAACGTACTAGTTTCTTCTTGCTACAAAGACTAAATTCTCAATCTTTTTACCTAATCAAAATCTTGGAAGAAATTTCTTTCAAAAAAAAAAATCTTGGAAGAAACAACATATTAACACTTAGCTTGTAACTTTGTACAATATGATGCAAACATATTATACTCCTAATATATTTTGCTTCATCTTACACTATATATTGATATTAAATTGTCAATATCTAATACTCCCTAAGACATGGATGGATTGAGTATGTCGTCACAGGCTCCTAGCTTGATAAAAAAAAATAAAAAATAAAAAATGTTACTTCCTAAACGGCTATTGAATCCAAAAGTGTACAAGAACCCGAAATAAAAGTGTTACGGAGTATTCTATAATAATCCCTTGATACTCTTTTTGTTCTATAATAAAGTATTTTCTCCTTAGTATGTTCATTATTATTTTGTCTAAATTGATTATTCTAAATTGTACAATCACAATGTCATAGGGCTAAATTAATTCCCTTTAATTGTGTCACACTCAAATTATACCTCCAAAGTCAACATTGTAATATTGTACAAGAATTTAATTAACTTCACTAATTAGAGGTAATGCACACATGATTTTCCATTGAAAATGAAATTTATAATAAAAAATAACAATAAAATTAAAAAATTTGACTAAATAATTGGACCCACTAACCTCAGAATTAGAACGAACAGATCTAGCAGACTTAGGTGTAGAACTTGCCACAGGAGATCCAACCTCATGAAAATCATTAGCCACTTCCTCCATTATTATTGTTGAAGCATAAGAAGAATTCCTTGACAAAGAGCCATGATCCTCTACATTGCACCCTACTAAATCTTCAACTACACCCTTTTTATCTTCAACCTCATCCATTGATTTATAGTCAACCTCATCCATTGATTTATAGTCAACCTCAACAACATCAACAGTCCAAAAAATCCAATCTTGAGTAGCACTTCTAGAAGGAACATCATGTGTTACGGAATTATTCCATGGAGGTACCCCTCCGTTACCTCTAAGGAAGTTTCCGTTGCGAGTTCTTAGCTTCACAACGGAACCTTCCTTAATAGGCTCCCACTCGACCGTTGAGTCGAGTCGGAGCCTAGGGGATGATTGTAGGACACGCTTACCCGTCCATCCAAGGAGAAATGGCTCCTCGGATGCGGTTAAGTATTTCCAACTATTACAATTTTTTAAACGTATTACATTTGGTTTTCCTTCGATTGGCTCTACCGTCCAACGCGCGTTCTTTGATGAGCCGCTACGGGTTTGCTTGACGGCCTCCTCGTCTTCGGAGGCCGTCAAGTACTTGTTGTGTTGGCTACGGAGACGAACCACTTTGGCTTTCTTGAAAAATTCCATTGTGTGTGTTTTTGGTTGTTTACTTGGTGTTGTTGAAGAGGATGTGAGGGTAGAATTGAAAATAATGGAAGGTTGATTTTTATATGAAATAATTTTCCCCCCTATTTTTGAGGTGGGGTCCTTTGATTTGTGGGTTGGAAGGAACGAGGGAAAGAAGTGTTTATTGTCAAAGGGTAATTTAGTCAAAGTACATTTACTCGGTTTTGTATGTTTTTTCTTCGTTATTAAGAAATTGAATGAAACTAATTTTAGTCGACAAGAGAGAAGTGCCAAGTTGATTACCTAGTTACCTCCTAAATATTTTAGGTTTTTTCTTTAATAAAATTTGGGTGTTTTTGTCATATGATTAATTATGGTAACATATGATATTATGGTGTGATATATATTTGGTTAAATTTATCTAGGTACATTGACTTGATCAAATTTGTTTAATTTACAAGCCTGTAAATTAAACTGTGTTCAAATGTACGTGATAGTCCTTAATCAAACTCATCATAAAGAATAATATTTTTGAGAAGTAAATTATAGTTTCAATAACTTTTTGCACCTATAGCTTTAGTGAGAAGCACGGATTAGAATTAAATTTTATGATTATAGCCTATTATGAGATGTAAGATTACCATTGAGACAACATATACTAATTTAAGTCTGGTGCAACACACGATTATTATTTTTTTTTAATAAAATATCTCTTACCTTATATATTTCTCCATTAATTTATTTTAAGTATATATCAAATCTAAAATATCTCCTAAGTAAGGTAAAATATTTTTAATATACATTGGATATAATCATAACATATTAAACATAATTGCAAATAGAATAAGAAAAAGTTATTACGGTCAATTTCATATTTAAGGAAAAAACGAATTAAATATACAGTTATGAAAAAAATATTCATCAATATTAACTAAAAATAGTTGTATTGATTATAATTATAGATAGTATCATAAAATATACAGTACATATAATAACATGGTTAATATATGATTTATTAGATTAATACTATTATGCTTAAAAATATCTTTAAATATTAAATAGCTATATTCATTAAATAAATTATGAAATGGATCAAAATGTTTACAAAATTGCAAGGATGAATAGATTGAAAATTTTGAGAAAAAAAAAAAGGCAACGAGAGTCATATGAACCACAAGGATCTGCGTAACAACGAAAAAGACCACTTGGTGATATTATACTAATGGTCAATTCTTTACTACTTCCTCCGTTCTTTTTTTATTGCACCATAAGGAATTTCACACTTGTCAATGTATTTTTTTAGCTATTAATATCTTCAATTACACTTTTGTAAAAATTATAAAAAAAATTGATATTTGAAAAGAAGATTTCGAGACGAATCTAACTAGATCCCACATGACTATATTTTTCCGAATGGATAAATCACAAATGATAGTCAAAGAAGATTAACACTTTGTTTGAATAGGAAGAAATGGAAGGAAAAGAAGAGAAGAGAAATAGAGAGGGACAAAATCTCTTGTTTGGGTAAAAGATTGGGGGAAGGAAAGGGAAGGAGAGGGAGGGATCTATTTTCCCTCTCTCTATAATAACCATAATCTCTCCAAAATTAGAGAGATTTGGAGAGAAAATGGAGCTCACCTCCCCCTCCCTTTCTTTTCCCTTCCCTTCCCTTCCTCCATTCTCCCTCCCCTTTTTTTTTTCCTTCTTTGCTATCCAAAGAAACCGTAAGTGAATACTGTAAAAGTCCTAATGGTGCAATAAAATAAAAAGGAGGAATGAAGTATATCAAATTAATTCCTTATTTACAATATCACAATAATATAAATCTTACATAATTCTTTGCTACATCAAATTAATTCCGTTCATGTTGATTTGATCTTCATACTACTTAACTTAATTAAACCAAACTTATTTTTGTTAAGTTTTAATAATTTATCCTAGAAAAATAAATCTATGAATAAACCTGTCTTGGAGCCACAAATATCTTTTTATCATAGCACAAATCATGGTTCAAATAACAATATTAGTCATACCAATGAACATGCAGTTATACAAGCTAGAGTAATTAGGTTGTGGATTGTACCTTCAAAAGCTTTTCCTACTAAAACTGCTTCAATTCTTTGGAAATCGTGCTATTAGATGCAAAAGGTGATTTTTATATATAACTAGATTAGGTCACGTGCCATGCACGGTTATTTTACTAAATTTAATCAATAAAATCGTATTAAAAAAAATAGCGGGCATAGGTAAAATACATCTATAACATATTTATAATCTTCATATTTTGCGTATATAATGAAATGAAACATGAAATATAATGAAAGAGTCAATTAGACAAATGAGGATATAATTAAACTACATCTATCTTTCAAAAAAAAAAAAAATACACCTACATGTTAGACCATATGAGTGTTTCAATTTTTATACAGAGTAATATGTATCGAAAACGGAGTAATAACTAAAAAGAATATGTTTACTATAAAAGATATGTATAAATATTTGAAATAATACTCCGTATTATGATAGTTATATCATACCAAATTTATCAAAGAAGATTTTAGCAAAAAAATGGAAGGTTTTTTTTTCTTTAGGGAAAAAATTACACCATAGGAATCAACACGTGTCATTCCTGGTGTTTGTTTTACTATTATGTTATTGATTCTATTTTTTTTTACCTTGAAAATAACCACCATAAGATATTGTTGTATGAATCTAATGATATTTTTCATACATTTGTTTGATAGGGAGGCAAAATACAGGCATCTATAAAAAAAATCTTTGTTATTCAAGTTCCAACAACTAATTAACGAGGGGGAATTGTACACTTTATCTGGTTATAGAGTTGGAAAAAATGATGGGAAGTTCATTCAAACCTACTAATCATGCATACAAAATAAATTTGCGACATTTTACTGAGATTACAATTGCTATCGAAATTAGCATTCCTAACTTTGGTTTCAATCTGGTGTCTTTTGATAAAATTGCTTCAAACAATCTAGACATGGATTGTTTAGTGGGTATAATACATTTTCATGCACTTAATATAGTCTTTGTTTTGAGGTAATATCAATTTTTTTTAATGAATGTTATTGAATTTTTTTTTTTTTTTGAGGTCGTTGTTGTTATTATTATTATTATTATTATTATTATTATTATTATTATTATTATTATTATTATTATTATTATTATTATTTACAATAGATGTTATTGGATATCTTACTGATATATTGGGAACTTTCAATTCAACAAGAGATGGCAAACCAACCAAGTGGCTCACTTTTCAGTTTGAAGATTTGCAGTAATTACATTATACATAATTTAATTAAGACTCTGATATTCATTGCATATCTTTGATATTTTTTTATATAATTTATTTAGTTTGTTATAAAGCTATATACTTTATTTAATCAGTATATGTTTACATTTTGTATTATTCATAATTTAATTAGGACTCTGATCTTCATTGCATATCTTTGATATTTTTTAATAATTTATTTAGTTTGTTATATAGCTATATAATTAATGTATAATTTGTTTTGGACTTACCGTGCATGGCAAGTGTCCTAAACTACTTTGTTTAATTTACAAGTCTTTAAATTAAATATATTTAAATGTACGTGATAGTCCTTTTAATTTATTTTTGAGAAGTAAATTATAGTTTCAATAACTTTTTGCACCTATAACTTTAGTGAGAAGAACAAACCGATTAGAAAGAAATTTTATGTTTATGGCCTATAAAGCTATAATCAACTTAACAAAGCCTAAAAGTATTGAAAAATTGATAATCAGATCATCTACTATGTAGAACTTACACAGAATGTATGGTATTAACAAATTAAATAGGACATATTTGTTTTGATATATTACGTAATTCAAATAGGATGGCATGGTAGTTATAATGAGAACCAAGGCTATAATAAGAACTAGGAATTAATCTAGGCCCTTAAATCATGTTAATCGGATGGCTCACATGCTTCCCGTGTCATTAATGACATTTTCGTAATATTTCAACTTTGTAAAGTGTTTTCCAGTTTTATTTCTAAAAAGTAAATAAAAAGTTAGTAAAAGTAAATGAAATTGCTTTAAAAGTTTAAAAACTGAAAAAAAAAGTTGCAAAAACTGCATAATTACGAAAATGTAATTAATGAATGCGGGTGAAATGTGAGCCATCAGATTGAGTGCGATCAATGGCTGAGATTGGTTCTTAGTTCCTATTATTCACCTTGGTTCTCACATGATGAGGAAGTACTAATACAGGTTTGATATGTGTTTGCAAATACATATCAAACTTTAAAATATTAAAAAGTATTGTAAGCACATGGGGGTGAGAGAAAGGAGGAGAGAGATTGACAAGTGAGACCAATTTTTAAATGTACCACTAAAAGTTTATATAATATCATTGACTATGTAGTGATATTATTTCTATACGTAGTTAGTACCACTAAATGAATATATAGTACCATTGAATCAATGTATAGTACCACCGAATGTTCAATGATACTATTTGGTCATTTAGTGATACTATTAATCACCCAGTGGAACACTTAAATTCAGCACGTGGGGGTGAGAAAAAGGAGGAGAGGGATGGGTAAATTTCATGCGAAATGTCTCAAATGTCCCTTGATGATATGTATATGCAAGTACCTATCAAACCTCCATTTGAAAGGCCTCCTCACATGATCTCAATTCTATATATATATATATATATATATAGTATAATCCACTGGGTATGTAGATAGTATAATTAGACAGTTTAATGACATTATCAAATCTATTGAATTAATGGAAATCATATTTTCCAATAAGCTTTAAAGGCACCATTAGCTGATGTAATGGTATACTTCATATAATAATGATACGACTAAATATACATATGCCATATCAAGTACTATACTCCATTATTATACATACCATTATGAGATGTAAGATTATCATATAATACTAGTTTAAGTCAGGTGCAATGCACGATTGTTATTAAATTTTATAAGGGTTATTATTGAATTTTAAAAAAAAAAAAAAATTACACTCGTAATATATACTAATTCAAAAATAAATATAACTTGAATTTTATACCTCTAATGTCACCATTATTGACACTTACACTTGATTATAAAAATAAAAAATAATAATTGTGAAATTTTATTAAAAAAATAATAAAAATCTAAGGATATATAGTACCCCCGCTTGTTATGTTGTTATTGATATGACTTTAAAGAGTAAAAAAAATAAGATATAAAATATATATGAGCCAAATGATTTTATTTTAAATTAATTTAAACATTTCTGAAAAAAT